GATCAAATAGTATGCTTCCATCTGCATTCAGACTCCATTGTTCTTTTTCTGGATGTGGATAGTATTTTCCATCATGAGTCTTTTGGAGTTGTCTTAGATCCTTGCATTGCTGAGAGGAGCCAAGTATATCAAAGTCAGTCATCACACAGTGTGGCTGTTACTGTATACAATGTTTTCTTGGTTCTGCTCATTTCCCTCAGCATCAGTCCATACAAGTCTTTCCAGGTTTTTCTGAAGTCCACCTGCTCATCATTTCTTATAGCACAATACTATTCCATCACATTCATACACCACAACCTATTCAGCCATTCCCCAATTGATGGGCACGACTGAGATTCCCTCAGGTGGAAGGGGGGTCACTGGAGGCAGAACACTGGGGTTAACACGTCCATAGGATTGATCCGAGCTAGTGAGGACCTCAGAGAGCAGATGAGGTTACTGAGGCCTCAGAGGGAAATGACCTACCCAGGGTGCCGCAGGGAGGAAATGTCAGTAAAGTCTTGCAGCCTGTTCTCTGGCTCTGTCCTTTACACTGGGTGGTGCTTTTCTTCAGGTGACACTGTTCCATTTCCTGGCCTCTGTTTGAGTCTGTCCTCCAGTGCCTGTGCCAAGGTTGACCTTGATTTTTCCTTTTGTCACTGGCTAGTTTGTCCCAAGAAGACTCCCAGGAGAAAAGGCCAAAGGAGATGGGTTCCCTGGAGGCCCAGCTGGCTGGCCTGAGGCAGGAGCTGGCGGCCGTCAGCCAAAGACAAGCTGCAGTGGCCAAAGAAATACACCTTTGGCGAGAAAAGATGGTGGCCCTGTGCAGTGACGTGAGTCCTCCAGTCCCCTGGTTAAGCAATGCATGCCCCTTGATCTCAGCTGGGCTGCTGCTGCCCGGACATCTGCCCAGGGAGCTGCAACCATCTGAGGTTTCCACTGGGCATTTCCTAAAGATTGAGCCTATTGGGTGGACTTTGTGACATGGATGAGATTTTCCTCATCTGTCAAGTGGGATAATATCATGAGATCCTTTCTGCAGACCTCAAAAGCAGTGGAGAAATGCCAGTCATTTGGTTCACAACCATCCCTTCTCCGGCACCAGGCAGGCATGTGCTGGCCCTGAGCTCTCAGAGTGTCTCTAGGCATCCCAGGTCTCCTGTCCAGACCCTCTTCCTTCCTCACCCTTGCAGTTTCTCAGGTGTTTGCTGAGCTCTTTCCTCTGGTGGCTTCTAGATGGAATCTGAGATCCCGGCCTTGATCCACCAATTACTTATTGCAGACAAGGGCACTCAGGCCAGGCTTGTACAGCTAGAGGAGGAACAGGCCCAGCTTTAGGACCTGGAGCAAGGAATCCTGACTCAGTTGGCAGAGGAGCAGGACAAGTATGCTAGCAAAGCTGCTGCCATCTTCAGGCTGACCTTTCTAAAGGAAGGAGTGACAAAGGAGTTGAACCTGGTCCCTCTGCCCATCCTCCTGGCTAGGTCATGGGTTTGCCCTGAGAGGAGACTGCCAGGAGGGAGAGGGAAGCCAAGGCCCACCAGTTAGCGTGCTTGCCCTTCCCTACAGGTGGCCTGGCCCATGAGTCATGAATGCCTATCTTTTAGGAAGTGCATAAGATCATGCAGCAGGCCCTGAAACTCTACAGTGAAGATCACATTGAACTGGTGGATTATGCCCTGGAGTCCTCAGGTAGGAGGCCTGCAGAAAGCCAGCAGGCTTGGGACAAGAGGGACTGAAAAATCAGCATAGCCGTTATGAGACAGGAGGAATTGACAAATTGGGATGCCCTTAATGGGGTGGCACAGGTAGGAGGGCAGATGCCCTGGCAGCACCCCCTTGCCTTGAAGGCTGCCCTAAGCCATATCTGTGTCATCCAAGACCTTGAGTGCCCCCTAACTCCTCTCCCTGTTTCTCTTTTCAGGGGCCAGCATCCTCAGTAGCCAAAGCTTAGAGACCTATGGCACCAGGATGTCTGTTATCAGTCTGTTTGGCATAACCTTGTGGTACCATTTCCAGATCCAAAGAGCCATCCACCAGGTAGGGCTGAACAGAGGTCCCCCAGGTTGGCTCTCTGTCTGCCGTCTCCTCCTTCATCTGTGAGGGCTGGGCTCTCAAGGCAAGGGGGCCCCAGGATCCAGATCTGTTCCATGTGCTACCACCTTCTACGTGATTTGTCTTCTGCCCATAGCCAAATGTCTACCCTGGCAAGTGCTGGGCATTTCAGGGCTCCCAGGGCTCCACCTCATTGCTGTCACCTTGGAGCATGTGCCCAAAGCCCTGTACCTAATCAGCAAACATCACCAGCACTCCCAAAGGCTTTGTCATCTTGGTGAGTACCTGGACCTTGCAGTTCTTTCTAAAACCGAGGAAAGCCCTTTCTTAACAGCAGCGTTTCGAGGTGAGGAATGGAAGGATCTGCCCATCGTGCAGACGGGACATCGAGTTTCTTCTCTTGACTCTTTGGGGCCAGCCCTTCTGCTCCTCCCCCTGTTCTTAGGAAGGAGCCAGGAAAAGACAATGACAGCAGCAAGAACAGCCAAGATTGTAATTTGTCTTAGAGTTGGGAAGGGAAGGGGATCACCTTTTCCTACACAGTCATCTACTGAGAAGAGAGATGGAACATCTACGTAAGGTGGAATTGGGAGAAAAGATGGAGCTAGAAGAGGTCAAATATGCAAGGGAGAGAGGGAGGTAGTTCCCAGGTGCCTGGCCAGCACACCAACTTCAAGAAGAGTTCCCTCAGGTAAGAAGAGCCAGAGGGAGCCCAAGCCACCTTCTCCATCACAACTGCCCATGGCAACCAAGGGCTTCTGCCGCTGCCATGTGTGCATTTCTTTCCTGCCTCCATTTTTGAGTGGAGACATCACTCTTTTGCTTTCTTTTCCCACAAAGGTGAGAATTTCCTGTCCTTAGCACTATCTCTCCCCCTTCTACCATAACCTGGGTTGCTGATGCCTTCACTCTCTGAGAACAGGAACTAGGGAGGGTCAACATGAGTCTCAGAGAAGGCCTGGAACACTGAGGCCTGAAGCTGGGCATGGACAACCCCTCTCAGCCATGTTTCTCTTTTAACTAGCCCCAGGGCCCATGGTTCTTAGAGCGAGCCGCATGGCCCAGCAACAGCGCAGGGAGCCTCTTGGGTGAAATGCCTGTGAGTGACGAGACAGATTTAGCTGACTCTTAGCTCCTCTCATACCTCATCATGGTGGTTTAATTTGGAAAGAGGCCCTCCTTGGCTCAGGGTACCTCTGGCTTTTTTGAATCCTGAACCCAAAGTTAAAAACAAAACAAAACAAAAGAAAAACAAACAATAACAACAACAAAAAACAAAAACAAAACTCTTCATCTGTTTAAGGAATAAGAACAGGAACAGAGGGCTCTGGGTATCATTTCTTTTCACCCCAGAAGTCTCCAGGAAAGTCTCATTCAAATCCTGTCCTTCCCCTCTCCCTATCTTTTCCCCCCTTCTTCTTTTTCACTCTCTTATCTTTGCTTCTCATGCTTGGTAACCCCTATGACGCTGAGGAGAAAATCCAGAAGTGGGAAATGCCTCTCACCAGCTGCTCACCTGGACAAAGTCACCTATAACATCTCTGAATGCTCCTCAAGATACTTCTCTGAGGATGACTGTGCAGGTAGGCGTCACTTCCTCCCTCTGGAGCCCCATTCCTCAGGCAGTGCACCACTTACTTTGAAGGGTACCCTATAGCTGGGGGCGGGGGGGACTTTATCTCTCATATAAGATGGAGAACTCTGCAGTCTGGCTCCAGATGGGGGTTTTCAGGGTGGGAGGGCTCAAGCCTTAGCATGAAAATGGGGCATTCTTGAGGCTTTCTTCTTCTGGGTGGATCTTCATTTCTTCCCTTCCCTTCAGGGCAAGCACTTATGGACCAGCCTGGCCCTTACATCCACCTTACAGAATGCAGTCTCCCATGTTGGTGTTTTCTTGTGGATGGGGATCGGCTTTTCATTTTGGTTCTGCCAGTGGGTGGGCACAGTGCCCAGGATAGTCCCTACAGTGCACCTAAAGGAGCTTCCTCATTCCTATGCAGGGGCACCATGGGCATGGGTGGAATAACTCTAGGACACTGTGTGAAGATGGGCTTGTTACAGAAGGATCTGTATGCACAGCTAGAGCCAGAATAGCAAGAAGGGGCTGCAGAGTTGACAGGCTGGGAGCAGGCTAGCTCTGGGACATGACAGACTTGCAGGGTGAAGTCTCTGAATCCCTCTGCTGGGACGTTTACAGGTTGGCTCTTTCACCTGTTCCACTGCTGCTTCAGAAATACCTGGTACCACCTGACCACAGCTGCCTCCCTGCAGGACCTCTTTGTCTTAATCAGGTTAGTGAGGCCTCCCCCAGGCCTGTCATAATCAAATATCCACTGTTCCAACTGACTTCACAGTCCTTGAGACCAATTTCCTTTTAGGCTTTGCCTAATTAATAATAATAATAAATAATACAGAAGAAAGTCATAAAAAAAAATCCCTGAGGCACCAGTGTGGAAAAGGGTGACTGAGTGACCTAAACAGAAAAATAAAGGGGCTGCAGGGAAGACATATATATGACGGGGAATGGGAGTAGAGCCACGAGGACAATTTGGCTGTCCTGGAGGGCCTGGTGACTGATAGCAAGCCTCCCTGAAGGAGGACTTCCAAAGGGACACCACTGTCCACATCAAGGTGAGGTGAAAGCAGGAGCTGCCCACCTGTCCTCCTGATAACACCAGGTTACCAGGACCAGCCTCTCTAGGTTTGATCCAATAGCACCCATGGAGGTCAGGGAAGTCTTGAGGTGAAGCAGTACTCTGGGGTTGCCACAGCCTGAAAAGTTCTCTGGGTTTTGTTGAATGTCTGTCTCCTTTTCTGTGCTCCCTAGGAAGATCTGACCACCCTCTGGGCAGAAGAACACTTAGATTTTGATCACATACTAAAGAACATTCCTAGGGCCTGCCAAGTAATCCAGAAACTCAGATGTTTCTGTAAGCAGGGACTATGGAGGTGGGCATCTTGGAGGAGGTTGTTTTTGGCTGAATCAGCATTCTCAAAAGGTTGATGCTGCTCTCAGGAGCCTGGAACTAGGCTATGAGGTTCTCCTTAGATTCCTTACTTGTCTAGGAGCATCTTAGATTGACAGAGACTCTGCTCTCGCTGAGAGATGGCCACTTGCTGAGAGAGCTATCAGAGGACTCAGGGTCCCCTTGTTTGAAGGTTCTGTATAGAGTTTACTGACCTCAAAGCAACCTAGACCCCTCCTGCCGCTCCTGACAGGCCCTTGCTGCCCGCTGGGCTCCTGAATGACAGCAGTGATGACTGGAACCTTACTTCCCCTATCATCTATAGGAGGTTATCCAAAGCTGCCCCAAGGCTCTCAAAGAGTACCCTAACAGGTTGCTAACACTTCACTCTTGGAATCCAAAAGAAGCTCTCTCAGACATGACTACGTATGTCCATCATAGCAAGTAAGGTCTCATCACATTCAGGCAAGGTCTAACCGAACTGGTAGCTGGAGCAGGGAGGGGAGGAATAGAAGCTTGAGGGGATGAGTCCCCAGGTACCTAACCTGAAATTCAAGGTGCCAGAGGATAAAGGCAGGGCCCTTGAGCTGGGCTTACATTAAGGGGGCCTCAAAGTTTGAAGGTGAGTACCCCACCTGGGCAGGTATACAGAACACCCAAGTGGCCCCCACTGGGTCTTATAGAAAAGACCATGCTGGAGATAGGGGCCCCAGGCTGGGGGCTTTGTGGTCAGGCCTGAAGGATCAAATGCCACTGTCCAGGTAATGAAATGACCATCCTAAAAGTGGGGCTGGGCCCCTTTCAGATTCCCAAGCTGCTTGGGAAATCCTTCTCCACCAAAGCCTCCACCTTCCCTGGTCTCCTTCAAGACTCTGCTCCCAGCTCACCCATGTTAGGAGGCCACCAAGGGCCCTACTGAACCCAGGGCCTCCTTCCTTTGCACTACACACATACTGGACGTGCTTAGTTACTGGCATTAGACTGGGAACTCCTGGAGCCAGAGACTAGGGTTTTGCCTTTCTTTGTATCCCAGGGGCTGAGCACTGCAGTGAACAAGCCCTTAATAAATGCTTTTTAGCTCACTATCTCACTGGATCCTGGAAACAATCTTGGGAGTGACAGCCCTACAGGTTAGCTACCTGAAGGGAGCAGGATAGGATGGTCAGAGGGGTGTGGGATCGCAGAGTACATTAGCCAGAAGTCAAATCTACTTATGTGAAGATAAAGCCACATCCCCAAGACAGGATGGTGTAGGATATGTGAGCTGCAGTTCACCTGACAGGCTGGAGGACTTTAGTGGACTGCAAATTCTATAGGAGCCAAGTGCAATATGGCAGCCCAGAAAAGGAGGGGCCTTTGGGCTGAATCCAGAGGCAGAGACAAATACAGAGAGGTAGACACAGAGACAGAGACATAGAAACAGAGAGAGGAAGAGAGAAACAGAGAGAGAAAGAGGAGAGAGAGCATAGAAAGAGAGGAAGAGACAGAGAAAGACAAAGAGATGGAGACAAGAGAGAGAGAGGAAGGAAGACAGACAAAAACAGGAGAGAGAACAAAAAGAGACAGAGACACAGACACTGAGACAGAAAGACAGAGATGAGAGAGAGAGAGAGAGAGAGAGAGAGAGAGAGAGAGAGAGAGAGAGAGAGAGAGAGAGAGAGAAAGAGGGGAATGGACAGACAGATAGTGTCCATAATACAGGGGTAGCATTAGACAGTGGCAATCTCCTGGCCAGACCACATCTGACATGGAGAGCTCTGGGGGCTGCGTTTTTGGAAGGACACATGCCTTATGGAGCACCCTGAAAACCCATCCAACACTTAGTGGGATGTCTAGGAACTCACATGAGGGTCTATCCAAGGCTGGACCAGAGTGGCGATGTTTAGTACGGTTGAAGCAATGACGTGCATATTCAGAATCTTGTCTTTCTGTGTTGACGTTGCTTGTTTTAAACCTCAATGAACAGGTGCCTAGGAGCCAGCCCTGTGGACTCATGATCCATTTGATGATCCACTGTGAATTCTGACAGTTTCTCAAGCCTCTAGCCCTCAACAGAGCTTTCTGAGACCAGATGTTTGGGGCATACGATGCTCTTGCACCTTAGAGCCCAGTGCTGACACCAAGGGAACACAAAGTGACCAGATGAGGAATGTCTGAAGGGTGGGAGGTGAGAAAGGGAGTGAATGGGAGGTGGAGGTCACCAATCAAAATGCTAGCAAGGGAGAGAAGGCTAGAAAGAGACTAGGGCTGAAGAAGGACCTAGCGATGGAATGGATGACATCTTCTCATAGGCAGACTTCAGTTTCTCACCTATCCTGGGAAGGCCCATAGCAAGAGCAGGTCCTGCTCAGAGGTGGGACAATAACAGCTCCCAAGCAGAAGGTAGAGACAAGGGAAGTGGAGAAATTTTCAGATCGGTTTTTGTCTTTGTGGTTTCCAGCAGGTCATATTGCATTTACTTCATGAAAAAAGCTTTAGAATATAATGAATGTCATAAAAAATTAAGAGTGGCCCTAACAACTGGTATCAGAGTAAACCTTGGGATCACTGATCCTTTCCAAAGGACAAGAGCAACTTTCTGCCCTGGTACATTTGCTATAGCAAACCAATTTACTTTGGAAATGAGTTTTCCTCCTAGGATTAATGCCGGCATCATTATTGGAGGGAAGCTAAATTATCTCCCGTCTTCAGGAGATACTCAAAACAAACAGGCAACAGCAAAGTAGAGTCCTAAAATGAACACAGACTCCACTTCAGTGCCTGCCGAGTCCCTTATCCATCTGCCACACACCTGAAAACCAGTCCCCTTGCTTCATGGTCATGCGTTGGACAAGATAAAACCATCTCCTGAGCACTCATTTTCTGCCCAGAGAACTGCTCAGGGAAGACTACCTACCTCTTCCTGCTGTTTGACCCAAGCACAGTAGGTCTTAGAGAGGGCAGAGATGGCACGCCTGCTATTGTACCGTGGCTTTCCACTGCAGAAGTCAGAAGGCAAAGGTTTCATAGCCTGCAAGGACAACAGACTTCCTGGTGTGGGTAACATACATCCACCAAGTAGCTTACCTACAATTAAAAAATAGAAAAAAAAAACTGCTACAGGCATCCTACATCGATGGCCAGTAGCTGGCCTTCTGTTACTGGAACCCTGATAGTTGCTAGGTACCATCTGCTGGAATATTCCAAGGTCATGAGGCTCTCCCAAGCCAGGCAGTCAAGCCAAAGCCTTGGAGGATGACAGCATCTGTCACTGAACACTGGGGTAAATACAAGATTTCTTCATTCCTTCCTGAGATTGTCCAGAATGAGCCCCACAACCCAGCCAGGCTGCCAGGAGCCCGAAGAGCTTACAGCAGAGCCTCTGGTTGGCCCTGACTGAGCTGCCAGCAACAAAAGACTAAGGACCTCCCAGAGTTCTCACTCCCTGTAAGATCAGAGCTGCCTCAGAGCCCTAGACCTGGGCACTGCATAGCCAGGGAGGACCATTCTCTGGGCAGCCTAGCCTGGCCTGACCCCCTAGGAGCCACAGCATCTGGCTTTAGAAGGGCTGGGACCATGGGAAGAAAGAAGCACAGAAACACTATGGGTGAAGCCAGGACTTGTTCCCTCTTATTTCAAACAGCATTTTGAAAATGCTGTTCATATATATGTTCTTTGATGCTGGGATACCACTTAGATCCCAAAGAGATCAAATACAAAGTGAAGAATTTTAATTCTAATAAACAGCAGTACTTGCCTATATGACAAGTTAGTTTTCTATGCATAACTGATTGTTATTTCCCTCTTTGAGCAAAATTCGATGAGAGTAAAGTTCAAACAATGCTCATCTCCCTCCCTTCTTTCCCTCTAATGTAATATGTCTTTGTGTCTCTCTATCTCCTCTTCATGTGATGTAATTTACCCTTTTCTGCCTCATCCTTTCCTCTTCTCCCATTACAATTACTTTTCACCACTTCATCAGGTTTTTTATCATCACATCAAAGTCAACTTAAACCCATCCCCTCCGTCAATGTATATCCCTTCTAAATACCGTAATAAAGCTACAATTCTCAAGAGTTACAAGTGTCATCTTCCTTTGTAGGGATGTAAACAGTTTGCCCTTATTAATAACATACTGTTGGTTTTTTTTCTGTCCTGTTTACCTTCTTATGTCTCTCTTGAGTCTTGTATTTGAAGATCAAATTTTCCATTGAGCTCTGGTCTTTTCATCACAAAGTCTGAAAGTCCCCTATTTCATTGAATGAATGTCTCCTCCCCTGAATTTTATGCTCAGTTTTGCTGGGTAGTGGACACTTGGTTGTAATCCAAGCTCTTTTGCCTTACAGAATATAATATTCCAAGCCCTTCGATCTTTTAATGTAAAAGCTGCGAGGTCCTGTGTAATCCTGACTGTGGTTCCATGATATTTGAATTGTTTCTTTCTGGCTGCTTACAATATTTTCTCCTTGGCCTGATAATTCTGGAATTTGGCTACAATATTCTTTGGCATTTTCAATTTGGGATCTCTTTCAGGAGGTGATAGGTGGATTCTTTTAATGACTCTTTTACCCTTTTTCTAGGGCCTCAGGGAAGTTTTCCTTGATGATCTCCTGAAAGATGATGTCCAGGCTCTTTTTTTCATCATGGCTTTCAGGTAGACTAATAATTCTTAAGTTATCTCTATTTTCCAGGTCAGTTGTTTTTCCAATGAGGTATTTTGCATTTTCTTCTATTTTTTCATTCTTTGATTGTGTTTGACTGATTCTTGATGTCTTATAGAGTCATTAGCTTCCAGTTGCCCAATTCTAATTTTAATAAGTTGTTTTCATCACTTAGCTTTTGTACCTCCTTTTCTCTTTGGCCTATTTTACTTTTTATAGAGTTGTTTTCTTCAGTGTACTTTTTTTTTCCATTTTGTCAACTGTAGTTTGAAAGGAATTGTTCAATTTTTTTTCTTCTACCTCCTTATTTGACTTATAAAATCTTTCTTGAGCTCTTCCAAGAAGGCTTTTTGGGCTGGAGACCAGTTCATATTCCCCTCTGAGTTTCACAAGGGTATATTGACAGTGTTGTCCTTCCTGAATTTGTGTTTTGATCTCCCCTGTCACTGAGATATTTCTCTATGGTCATTGTTTTTCTATGTTGCTTTCTGCTCATGTTGTTTGACTTTTTACTGGCTTTTAAAGTTGATCTCTGCTTGTGGGGCATAGGGGAAACTGTTCCAGGCTTCTTGTGCTAGGGACTAGGGGCCTGGTTACTGGTTTGCTGAGGTGTGGCTTGCCACTAGCTTTCTGAGATGCTGTCCTTCCTGTACTAGTCCCCTTTGGTCACAGCAAGAGGGATCTTTCCCATTAATTCCCCTAGCCTTCAGGAGCTAAAAGACTGCTATAGCTAGTCTTTCTGTTTTCTAGCCTCTCTCCTATTTCAGGGTTTTTCCTGGGGCAATATTCTCTGGTTTTTCAAAGTCAATAAGGGAAGGTGAGAGCAACTTACTCTTTACTCTGCCATTTTGGCTTTCAGAAGTTGAAATAGGTGACTTTCAAACATTCAATCTGTGGGCTCTACAAGCAGCTGTCACTGCCATTGCTGCTACTGCTGCCCCAACTGCCACCGCTACTGTTGTAGATTCCGTCACTCCCAAGGCCTGCTACTGGTTTGCTGAGCCAGAGCTGTATTGGCACACCCTGCAGCCTTGGACCGGACTTTGCTTCTCTCTCCCCGGTTCCTTCTGATAGACCCTCCCACTGACCTTTTAAGTTGTCTCTGGAGTCTGTGGGTTGAGAAGACTGCAAAGTACCACTGCTGCTGGTGATTCAGTCCTCAAAGCCTACTCTGGCTTTGTTTAGGCCAGATCTGTGCTGTGCCCTGAGTGCTGGACACTCCTCTCTCAAGCCAGTGCAACAGACCTGTGCTGTCGACCTTCCAGGTTGCCTTGGGCTGGAAATCTGCCTCAATTGGTCTCACTATGGTTTCTGCCATTCTAGACTTTATTCAGAGTCACTTTTTAGAGGTATTTGAAGAGATTCAGGGGAGAGCTCAAGTGAGTCCCTGCTTTCACTCAGCCCTCTTGGCTTTGCCTAGATGCAATATTTTTATAAGGAAGCAGATAGGCCAATTTGCTTGGAACTTAAGAGTGTGTGAAAGGAAGTGATATACAGTAAGCCAACAAAGGTATGCTGAGGCCAGATTACAAGGGAGCTTCAATGCTAAACAGCACCTCAGTCTTTTTCCAGAATACTTGAAGCTTTTTGATTATGGTAGAACCTGGCAGATAGTGTGCACCATGGGTATAAGCTTTCAAGATTCCAGAGTCGGCTCCATGGTACAGTGAGGCCTCAGACAACTACTTCTACTAAC